AAAAAATCCAAGTGAACATCAATCAGTACTCAATATTAATTTAAACTGCTTTAAATATGACTGCTGCTTATTTCCTGTGCACTTCAATACTGGTCTGCGCTTGACTGTAGTCGCGTCTGTCTGCTTATTGCGTTTATTTAGACTAACCCATCACAATTTATTGGAACTGTGTGAACTAGAGTGACTACTCACCTTAATGTTGTTCTCAAAGCTCACGCTGCGCACAAGTGCATATCCTTATGAGATATAAATTATAATCAATTTTAATAAAACACAAGACTACAGTAATATAACTCTAACAGTAGGCTATTTAATATCTGTTGTTCTCCGGTTGTCAGTCAGAATGACAGTACTTGCGTGAACATAGGCCTATATATATCCAAGCCAATTTATTATTCTTTCCTTTTTGTCTTAGTGTTTAAAATATTTATTTTGAAACAAATTAATTAATTAATTTCTTAATTAAACAAACAAACAAACAGACTTACTGGGTGAGCAGGGTAGGCTATGACAGCTGTCATATCATACCCTGCCATGCCCAACTGATGCAAAGAATAGAATTTATATCTACACAGAAGAAAACCCTGTCTAGACTCTAGACTTAATTTAAAGATTAAATGTAGTTGCAATAAATGCGTTAAGAATCCGTACAACTGCAGCAGTGGAGGACTATTATTCTGCTGTGTGATACTGCGGAAGAACTGATGAAGGCACGGCTTGATATTCGGCTGACCAATCAGCAGAAAGGGGCGTTTAATTCCCGCCCACGTGTAGAAATCAAATATTCAAGCTGTTTATTCATTTTTTCACCCATGAACGGAAAATGAAAATTTAAGCTGAATTTTCGTTTTTTGGAAAAAAAACTAAAAAACGAAAAAGGAGCAGTTTTCTCATTTTTCTACTTTCAATATTAAATCAAAAAACGAATGATCGAATGATACACGGATTACGTACCGTTCCACTTAAGCCTAGTTCACACTACACGATTTAAAACATTGGCAGATCGCTGTGCTGTTCAGACTACATGACTTCTTGGCTGTCTTGAAGTTGTTGTGGTGTTCACACTACGCGTCACTACGTAAATAATCGGCAACAGGGGGATCACAGACTACACGAGCTGACAACAACTCTGTAGAGTGACAAAGCTGCAAGTGAAACAGGAGTTATTTATTTGAAAATGGACATCGGGAAGAAATTAGTGCTGCCAGCTGTTTGCGCGATGAACAAAAAAAAATGCTCCATTTCTTGTGTCCAAACTTTTCTTAAAGCCGTGTTGCTGCTGCTGTTTTTCTTCCGCTGACCTCAACCCATGCCTTGCTCTCTCATTGGCTGCAGCTCGTCGCGACACCTGACACCACATGATGTTAAGTCAGCTGACCGGTCCCGATATTTAGCATGCTAGATATTCGTTTGGCGTCAGCGGGGCTCTTTGATGCGTCGTTGAGTAGTTCACACATAAAGATTGCCGAGCGCTGATCACCTGCTGATTTTCCCCTGATCACAGCCCGACCTGTCGGCGAGCTTGTTAACTTGCAAATCGGGCTTAAAATCCTGTAGTGTGAACTAGGCATAAGATGGCGAACGATCTCAGCTTCAGCAAGGATAGTGAGGAGCTCCCTGATCTCTGCTTCTTTACAGTTTGCACATATTTTTTCGTTGTGAACGTTGATCTGCCTTCAAAACACCGATAACGTTAACGATAACGTGCGTCATCACTACGACACACCCTTTACGGCATTTGTCCTGGCTTTTGTTCCCACAGGGCTCGTTCAGGCACTGATCCAGGTGTTGTGCCCAATTGTGACCACCCGACAGATTATTACCCCCCCTAGTATTGGTAGGTTAAGGAGTAGGTGTGGGGGAGGGATTAGGAGTGGGATTAGGATTAGGATTAGGCAATCAGGTAGTGACTTCAACGAGGTGGGTGATAATTTGGCAGGGGGTCGAAATTGGGCACAACACCGGCAATGTTACTAATGTGCCGCTCAAAAACACATGCGAGGAAGACGCAGAAATGAGCGATCTCGTATGTATGCGTATGCATATAAAAAGCAATGCAAACATCAAAAATAAACAGCATATAAATCAAAACTGCCCAATGTTACCGAGTGAAATGTCGATCCAGGAAGTGGCAAAGGACTGTGCAAGCTTTAGGGGTGTTGATGGAAGTGATCTATTGCATCTTTGCTTTGATCATCCTACTGAATATGATCCAGATGTAGTATTTGATAAAAACGTGATTTTCTCTCCTTTTTGCTCAAAATTGCGCTTTTTTTTTTTTTTAAACTTACCTACACTCAAGTGTTGATAAAAAAATAATGCTTGAAGCTAGAATAAAACGTACAGAATAAAAGTAGAGGCTCTGTTCTTTATTTTGATGTATTGCATGTTCAGATATTCATAAAACAAAATATTCTGGGGGCCATAAAATTTTAGTGAAAATCATCAAAACTGCTGGCGGGGAAAGAGTCAAAGGGGTCATATGATGCGATTTCAATTTTTCCTTTCTCTTTGAAATGTTACAAGCTCTTGGTGCATAAAGAAGATCTGTAAAGTTGCAAAGACTAAAGTCTCAAATCCAAAGAGATATTCTTTATAAAAGTTATGAGGCAACCACGCCTACCTAAAACGGCTCGTTCTAACACGCCCCCACATGTCTACGTCACGATGTGGGAAGATTTGCATAACGCTGCCCAAATGTTCAAGCAAAGAAAGGTGTAACTTTTATTCTCGCTGTAGTATTGTTGCTGCCGCCACCATGCCGTGGAGACTCTGTGTTTCGTTGTGAAAGCGAAACTACTTGGTTTGGCCTTCCAAATAATGTTCTTTTTAGCAACATCATATGACCCCTTTAAATATGATAAACGGAAACTCAAAGTACTTACGTGATTGAAAAAAAACCTTACTGGTCCCCGCACATCAAGCAAGCACATTCGAGTTTCCAATAATAATTCAATAATTCTTTAGATGGTTGCTTTTTTGAACGATCTATTGCATTAATAATGTTGCTCATTAGTTATAGCTAGATAAAATAAGAACATCTAGCAGGAAAGGGAACAAAATGTCTGTTTATGATATTAGATGTACTTTGGGTTTTATTCATCAAAATCTTCTGTGTATGTTAGTGTTAATGAGGATTTTGGCATGTGCACACAACTGAGAACACAAATGACTATATGAAACAGCTTGTGCGTGGGAGAAAAGGACAAGAGTGATGTTTCAGGATGTTCCTGTTTTTTTTTAAGATCATTGTAAGATTGGCTGGGTTTGGTCTCACCAGCTGAATGCTTGTCACACCACAAGTCTAGCCTGCTGTGAGCCCTTTCGATTCGTTGGGGGGTTCTGGGGGAGAGTCAGGCTGCCAGCAGGGTACTGGGACTCTTGAAAGCTGGACCAGCCGCTCAAAGTTGGATCACTTTCTCAAGAAGAATCAGATAAATCTGTTTTCTGTGACTCTCCCTTTTTCCGTCAATACATCAGAGTTTGGTTCCTAGGATAACAGTAGGACCCTAACAAAAGCAAGCACTGATACATATACCTTTGTGTCCTAGTGTTAACCTGGGAAGCATTATTTCCCACAGTGATCTGATTAAAGTGTGTATGAATCATTAAATAACTGTAACTGTCATGTGTGAATCACATTAGAGCTTAAACTGAGCTGAATGGGACATTGACTGGGCTATAAACAATCCATAAATACCCTAGAGGTGAACATCACACCCATCTTAAGCTTTATTTAGTTTAATAATGTCTAATTTTGTAATGTATCAGACATCATGCTTTGAATCTACCACTACATGTTCTGCTACTCTAACCATTTGTAGCTCGTTCCCAACACAGGCAAGTCATCACATGCTGTAATCACCATTTCTTTTCTTATCTCATTCCTCTGTGCTGGTTGCTGGCTCTCGCAAAAGATGCATTTTTGGTAAAGAAGGTAAATGCTTGCTTATCTTCATCATGGAAAACACAGACACTCACCTTGCTGAAGGAATGCTAAAAGGTACCGGAAAGGAGGCTGGCTGTCGTCTTCTTCACATGGCAGGGCATCCTCACAGACTAGATGCCTATAGAACAGACAGATTAGGATTTAAAATATGTTAAGAATTGACTTATGGGTAGGGTGGCCAGGATGTGTCCCGTAAAAATGGCACGTATGGTCACCCTACTTGGGATCACTAACAAGACTGTCTTTTTTAACCATGACAGTCCTCTTTATTTCCATTCACTAGTTAAAATTTCATTTCATTAAAACACATTTTATGCAGTTAATGCCAATTTTGGGTTGGATAGACAGACAGAAAAATGAAAAGCCTGAGGCAGAAATAAAGAGAGAAGGAGTTGGAGAGGGAAAAAATGTCTGCCTGTTTGCACTGCGTACCAGAGGTGGTGCTGTGGGTTGAGCTGGGTGGTGGAGATTCCCTTCAGCTTGCTTTCGTACTTTGGGGCCAATTCCCTTGCAATTTCTGCATGAAAACAGTGCTGTAGTGAGGAAGAATATCTGCACAACTTCTTCACAAACTCTAAACTTAATAAAAATAAAGGATCTTTTTCACATTATGTACACAGTTATGTTCACGTAATCGCTTTATGACATTATTCAAAGTATTGAAAGTACCATGCATTTAATTAAATACATTTGTATAATTAAACATTTAAATCTTTAAAGAAAAATATTAAAAACAAAAGAAAATGTTGCAGCAACCCAAATAAAGAGTCAAATAAAGCTGCAAGCAGAAATTACAGGATTAAGCATCAACATTTTTATTTAAAAAAATTAAGACTGAAATTTTCCCATATTAATTTGCTGATTTAATGTGAAAATGCATATGATCGCAAATTTTAATATTAGGTGTAATTAATCGTGATTAATTACAGAAACTTTTGCAATTATTTAGTTTAGGTTCTTAATCTTATGACTGCTTATGTAGTCCCTATGTTATGTATTTTCCTTTGAGTGTCCTTTTGTTTTTGCTTAAAGGTTTTTTTTTTTTTTTTTTACTAAATAGATGTATAAACTGATACATTGTGTAAACTGATACATTTTACATTGTCGGGTGCTCTATAGTGGATTTTACAAAGTAACGGTGTCTTATAGTGGAAGCACTCATGGAAATAGTTGCTGGGATGGTTGACTGCCTGATAACTGAATGATGCCCCAGGTAGTAGAGAGAGGGCAGGAATGTCAGCCATTATGTTTAATTCCTGGAATGTAAATAGCCCATTAAACCAGACGAAGATGTTTTTCCTCAGCTTAAACCTCATAAAACCTATAGTCCTCCTTCAGGTAACACTTATTTAATTTAGACTAAAGAAACCAGTGACAGATCACAACAGCTTCTTCATAAAATAAATTTAAAATCATTGCTGTGTCCAAAGGTTGTCTTATGGATTGTGTTTGGAATTTTAATTCCAATAATATAGTATATATTAATAGACTGTCTTTCTGGTGAATCTTTATGGCCCTAACAGGGCCAATACGCTCGTCTCAGCACTGTCCAACTTGAATCACATTGTTTGATTTGATGGGTGGGGATCTGTGTAATGGGATCAATCTTAGACTTAAACTGACATGCTCAATTTTAAAATGCAGACTAAGCTGTAAGTGTTTCTGAGTCAAATTGGGTGTGTACATCCCTGGAGGTTTTTTAACCAGTAATGGTATTGGCACATTTTGATATGGACGTCACTCAATGTAAAGTCCTTGCAGTTAAGAGAATCAGTTATTAAGTGAACCAGATGTTGATTTATTAGATGCTCTGATGGATTCAGTTCAGTGTCTTGTCTATTTGACCTATTTAGAAAATGAACTGGTTCACAGGTGTCATTTTCCCTAAATCAGACTACACTTGTTGCATTGTATGTTGATTTGAGTTCAGCCTGCAAGGGGTGTCTCAATAGAAATAACAAGAGATGTGTTTTTTTTTTTTGCCATTATTTTTTGGTATACAATCTTTTTATTAAGTCATATTCAATACAGACTGCAAGCTCACATTCACAACTCAAGGTAAAATGCTACATTTTGCTGCAGTGCTAAATATACAGCAGCAGGGGAACACAGATGCTGAAAAGCAGTGCAGAAAAAAAAGTGATTGTCCTTTGCCTGACAACAGAGTACAGTTCAACTGCAACAAAAGCATTTAGATTCATTTCATCTCTTCTGCATCTCAATTTTTTCACTGAATAATGACAGATGAGGAAATGTTGGGCTCTGAGAGAAACTGTTATCGCAACCCTAAAGACCTTTGGTTGTCAAAAATTAACATACACGTACATTACATGAATTTGTGAGAAAATGTCTTCTGGGATCATAGCTAGATTCAGATTTTGCAATTGACACACCTAGACAGGTGCCTGAGAGCACGCACAGGACAGCGATCTACAGTCTTGTAGCGTATGTTTGGCTTAAGTTTGTAAAAGAAAGTCAATAAATGAGCCATGAATACAAGATAATGCAGCCTTTGTTATTCTAATTTAAAGAAACAAGACTACAAAGACAAAGAACAGCATTCTCCACACATCTGGGAATTGTTTTTTTATTATTATTTTTACTATTAACATTTAAATATGGAAAGTCATTCAGACATATAAAACTCAGACAGCGTCACTGCTATATGAATATGTGGGCCAGCCCAGAACATTAAAGGGGACATATGATGCGATTTCAATTTTTCCTTTCTCTTTGGAGTGTTACAAGCTCTTGGTGCATAAAGAAGATCTGTAAAGTTGCAAAGACTAAAGTCTCAAATCCAAAGAGATATTCTTTATAAAAGTTAAGAGTCAGCCACACCTACCTAAAACGGCTCGTTCTAACACGAGAACTTGAAATCGCATCATATGACCCCTTTAATGAATTATAAAAAACAATAAAAAAAATCCCAAAGTGCAGTCATAGTGCAGTGTGCCCCCAAAAAGAAACACTACTTGGTTCTTTTGTGGCAAGAGTGGCTTCAAGCTATGCAGACAATGTCAAAATGTCACTCAAAAGCACTGATGGATAACTTACTGTAACTCATCTTAGCATTAAACACATCTTCCAACTTTTTAACATTTTGATCATTAACTAATTTGATGCTTTTGAAGAACAACCACAACACAAAAGCAAAGCTAAATCAAAGAAACCACACTTTTTTAGTAAAATATCAGACAGTGTGTTTCAAAACAACCTGGGAGAACAATGTCTGAATGGAGAACAGACGCACAAAAATATCCTTTCTAGCACAGTCATTAAAAGTTTACTCTTTCTGGTTCTGCAGGTGTATTGACAACCACAAAAATGAAACAATCAAATGGCACAAATTGGGCTGCGTTTACACTGGCACAAAAAATCCGATCTTTCGCTCACATCTGACACAGATCGGAATTTGTTGCACACGTGTAAACACAAAAACCCTGGTCAAAAGATCAGATCTGTGCATTAAGACTTGCAGTGTAAGCCTTGGTTTGCAGTAGCCTTGGTTGCTGTGAGGAAAAAAGTGTCAGTTTCACTGTTCAAGTAAGACAATGTGCAGAGTCATTTTTGTAATGAGGTCAAAGTTTTGTTTTGCCTCTGCCGTATTGTGGTCTTTGTAACACCCTTTTTTTTAGACAGGATCCTCTGTTTTGCAACAGTATGTGGTGAAAATGAACACCAACTAAAAAAACACTGGGGTGGACAGGTAAATACTGCTGAAGGTGATGTTTTGTTTGGTTGCAACTAGTGCAAGAGCGTCTGAAATCTGTCAGCTTCTAAGATCACAGTGGCTGTGCCCTTTCTAAGTCTCCTTTCTAAGCTGGGTGTACTGGTGCATTCTTGGTGAAAGTTCATACCCTGTCAGTTGCTCCATAAAGATAACAGCGAATCTGTGATATGGACTTCAAGAGCTGTTTTTAAACTTTGAATTAAAAATATTTAATTAATGTGTATACAGCATTTTGTACCAATACGATTTTAATGTGTTTACGCAATAAACCATAAATCCAAGTTACCTTACGATGTTTCCTACAGACTAAGACAGGGAAGCATCCATTACTTTCTTTTTGTAAATTGATAGGACTAAATCTTGTTTGACCTGTTCTTTTAATTTCATCCAGGAATCAAGTATTTTGTTCACTTTGACAATAAAATAATTTGTCATGGTTAACTGCTAACCAACTGTAAACCTGTTAAACCAGCCATTTTCCACATCATTAAGTTGGCTTGAAAATGTATCTCCTCCTAGACTTTTAAAGCTACAACCACCAAACTCGGGTCAGACCTTCAGACTGGTCTGACTCGGGTTGCTATATCTTTTCTAACTGATCCGGCCTTCAGTTTTCATAAACCAGACTATCAAAAGCACCTAAAATCCTATAGACTTTCATTGAGGGGGTGAAAACTTTTATACAGTAAGACTTATGGTGTATTTAAGCTGTCTATTGCTATAGCAAAACTTAACAACTCCCTACTGAAAAAAACAGCTAAAACAAGCTTAAGCTGATTGACTGCTTTGACTGGTCTCCCAAGCTGGTTTTAAAGTGGTTTTGGCCACTTTTTTAGCAGGCTAGGCTGGTCTTAGCTGGTTTTTAGCTGTTTTTTTTTACTGAATCTGGTTTTAGCTGGGTTAGCATAGAAACATGTTAACAACAAGCTAGTAACTTACTAATCATGCTAGAAACATGCTAATCGTGCTACAAACATGCTAATAACTTGATAATCATGCTAAAAAAGGCTAACACCTTGTTAGTAACGTGCTAATCATGCTAGAAACATGCTAGTAACATGTTAATCATGCTAGAATAATGCTAGTAACTTGTTAATAATGCTAACAATATGCTAGTAACTTGCTAATCATGCTAACAACATGCTAGCAACTTGCTAATCATGCTAGTAACATGCTAATCATGCTAGCAATGTGCTAATAATGCCAAAAATGCTAAAACCACGCTAGTAAAATGCAAATCAGGCTAGAAAACATGTTAACAACTTGTTAAACATGTTAGAAACAGGCTAGCATCATGCTAGTAACATGTTAATCATGCTAGAATCATGCTAGCAACATGCTAGTAACTTGCTAATCATGCTAACAACATGCTAGTAACTTGCTAATCATGCTAGTTAATCATGCTAGAAATATGTTAGCAACTTTTTAAACCTGCTAGAAAACCTGCTAGCATCATGCTAGTAGCATGCTAATCGTGCTATCAACATGCTAGTAACTTGCTGATCATGCTAACAAAATGCTAGTAACTTGTTAATCATGCTAGAAACATGTTAACAAAATGCTATTAACTTGGTAATCATGCTAACAAAATGCTAGTAGCTTGCTAATCATGCTAGAAACATGCTAGCAACATGCTAATCATGCTAGTAACATGTTAATCATGCTAGAATTATGCTAGCAACATGCTAGTAAACTTGCTAATCATGCTAGCAACTTTGATAAACATGTTAACAAAATACTAGCAACTTGCTAAACATGTTAGAAACAGGCTAGCATCATGCTAG